AGAGAGAGAGAGAGAGAGAGAGAGAGAGAGAGAGAGAGAGAGAGAGAGAGAGAGAGAGAGAGAGAGAGAGAGAGAGAGAGAGAGAGAAAGAGAAGTAGAGAGAGAAAAAATATTTAAATAATTAAAAAAAAAAGATAAAATTAAAGAGTCCAACGCCAAATGCAAAAAAAAAAAACTTTCAAATCCAAATACAAAGATAGAAAGAGGGAGATAAGAAAATAGGAACCTCACGGTAGACAAAAGAAAATAGAGAATCCGATTCAAAGCGAGAAAGAGAGCAAAGCCAAATTTAACTGTTTTATTGCAAAATCAACCGTTCGTCGTACTCCATCATATTCCATGTCACTATCACCCACCCTACTTCATGTATCGATTTCCCCACTTCAACCGCTCTTTATCCTGATAAGGCAGGGCTTATCATACTCCATGTCACTATCACCCACCCTACTTCAACCACTCGTTTTACTTCTTCCAGTCTAACATAATCGACTTCCTATTCAATAACAAACACAAATTTCACTACACATCTACATCATAATTTTCACGTAGTCGCCTCCTCCTCTCTTCCATTGCGAATTCCTCCTGCTCAGTAACAATGGTATCCTCATCAGGATAAAGGGCTGTCTGATTCTTAGACGTAGGCCTAACAACCGTCAAATCATTAATCTTTTTATAATCCCCCCTCGTCATATGGCTAAAATCAGGGTTGTCACGGCCCCGGCCCCGAGGGTCCGGGGTAGCCCCGAGGGTCTGGTGCGGTGGTCCCCTAACCCCGGGCCGGGAGGGGTAAGAAAAAAAAAAAAAAAAAATCGAAAAAAAATCGAAAAAAATATTTAAAAAATTTGGTGGCGTGCGCACCGCTGCCAGGCACCCCCCGACGCTTTCTGCTATTTTGCAGAAAAGTGCCCCCCTAGGCCACCCCACCGGGGTCCCCCCACCCCGCTGGCGGGGTCATTCGGCGGTGTTCGGGGTCGAGTCCGGTGGGTCGGGGCCGGGGATGCGCTCGCGAGGGGCGCGGGGGTCGGGGTCGGTGTCGGGGTTCACCTGGGCCGGGGTCGTGGTGGTCGGGGCTGGGTTGCGGAGCCGGGGCCGGGGTGCGGGTGACCGGTGTCGGGGCCGGGGTGCGGGTGGCCGGTGGTCGGCAGGGTTGCGGGG